TCTTTCTGTCATTCTGTATACTCACTAATTGTTCTATCCTGTCTTAGGAACTGGCTCTATCTCACTCTGCTACTTTGATAAGCCACGCTGAGATGTTTCTAGCTTCTGCCCTTAATTCTCAGAGCTTACACTGGCGTTCTCCACCCCTGTCTAAAGCCTTCTTTGAGCAGCCTCTCCAATGCTTGTGGCTGTCTTCTTGTGCAGTCCTGGTCTGGCTGGAGATGCTTCTGCTGTCTCTGTTGGGTGGCTTTGATCATTTTCTTTCACCCTTTTAGGTATTTTGTTAGAGTGTACGTGAGAGAACTGGTTCCTCTACAAGCTTTCATGTTGACATCTTAACCAGAAGTAGTTATTAATACAGACAAATATAATAACAACAATAATAATAAAAGATAAAACATTAGATACTAAGTGAAGTTTTACTCCTTGGCCCCTTTTATAGAAGACTTTGTTCTTTCCTTGTCCAGATATCTAATATGCCTGGGTCAGCTGCTAAATATGCCCAGAGAGTACACGTCCACTCACTCTGGGAGCCGTTTCATGTTTCTCATATGGATGGTGGGAAATGACAAATTTAAACTTCCCAGGCCAGGAGTACTGCTGTGGAATATGCCTCAAAAATTGCCTACATCTTAGAGGCTTAATTCAATCACTTTCTTGCTAGCAGGAAATAGAGAAGAAGAAGAAAATAATCACCAAATGGGGTCCTCTCTTGCAATATACTGATTAGAATGTCGCCTCAGGCAAGCTTTGACTGATGAAGCCACATCAACACCTGGTTGCTGAGGAAGGGTTGGGAAGAAGCCTCTCGATACCTTCCAAAAATCTGTTGTCCTTGTGTTACCCACTCCACCTGCTGGGGGAACCACCTTGGAAACAAAGCCCAGGCCTGTTTGAACCCTTTCCTGGGGCTTGAGCCTATTCTCAAAGCTCAGTTGAACAAGAAGAGGCAGTGAGACAGCTTTCATGACAAAAAAATTCTCTAGAGTAAGAATTGAGCTATTTTTTAAGCAAGCTAAATATGACTTAGAACAGTGTGGAAGGACATGCACTACATCGTAACACATCCCTTGCTTACTTCCTGAGCTAAAGTAGAGTGATATTTCCCAAGGTTGTAGACTTTGACCTTTTTGGTTCTGTGATAGGAAGCAGTATCTTCTAGGGCCTTGCCAGATAGTGTCTTAAGAGGTATTGAAACTTTCTTTAAACTTGATTGGCTAAAGAGATTGGTCCAGGTTGTTTGTTTCTGTTTGCCTGAATTTTTTTGTTGTTGAGTAATTTTTCAATTGTGTCTTGACTCATTGTGACCCCATTTGGGGTTTTCTTGGCAAAGATATTGGAGTTGTCTGCCATTTCCTTCTCCAGCTACAGATGAGGAAATTGAGGCAAATGGGTTTAGATGACTTGCCCAGAGTCACACAGCTAGTAAATGTGTGGGGCTGGATTGGAATTCAGGTCTATCTGGCTCCAGGCCCAGTGCTCTATCCACTTTGCCACCTAGTTGCTTGAATTCAAAAGGCCAGAAGGAGATCCACCTACCTTTCTGACTTCTGACCTTGGACCTTGAACATGACCAACACAGAGAAACTGTGTCCAGAGGAATCAGCATGATGTCCTCACTTTGTTGCAGATGCTTTCCCTGCCATGGTAGTTAACCCTTTGTTAACTGTTGGGTGACACTTGTCTTGTCTCATTCCAATATTAGACCTAAACAACCAGAAGACTAGCCTAAGTCAGGCCCAGCCTGGCTGGCAGACGCCAGCCATCATCATCATCACCACCCTTGTTGTTATTGTTATTGTTTAATGTGTACCGACCTAGAAATTAAAGGGGTGGGTAAGTCTGAGTGACACTGGCTGTAATCACCAGTTGTCTTATAAGAACAGGTCTTGTTATCAGATGTTTGCAAGCATCACATTTCAGGAACCAAGCTCCACTTGCTATGCCATAAGCTTCAATTCTGTAGAGACTGTGGAAAATGGAAATTTATAACATAGCAACTGATTGTTGGTTTCTAGAATGTGATGTGTAGATCTGTGATGCTCTGTCACCTAGAGGGCAATGAAGGGGTGCACAGTGGGCTTAAGCAGGCTGTGACACATTATAAGTGAGGAATTATATAAGAGAAGCAATGTAGAGGACATTGAGAGAAATGTGAAATCAGGGAAAAAAAGATGCACCAGCCACATAACTAGGGTAAGGGATAACTTGATTGACGGATGATACTCTCCATTGGGATCCATCCAATATCAAGAGAATGTGAGGAAGGGTCCTGAAAGGTTCAATGGATACTCTGGAAGGTTTGACACTGACAAGTGTCAGGCAGACAGGATGGACATCCGTGGATGAGTTGCAGTCTACGTCACTGAAAACCTGCTTCAGTGAGATCACTGATCCATTGGAATATTGGCCTATACGTTATAAAATGCATAAGAGAGGGGAAATTTGTTAGTTACTGTTGCATCTTCACCAGTGTCTAGTATGAGGCCTTGAGCATCGTAAACATTTAAGAAATGGTTTGTTGAATAATGAATGAACCAATGTTTAGAAGTAGCTGAATACAAATTAACTCTCTGCATGTGAGGACCCTGGCCTCCTTGCTGTCCCTTATACATCTCCAGATTCCAGGCATTTTTACTGGCTATTCTACATTCCTGGGATACTCTCCTTTCTCGTCTCGTTTCCTGACTTCCTTGACTTCCTTCAAGACCCAGCTAAAATCTCATCTTACAAGATGGCTTTGCCAACACTAGTGGATATAGTGCAAGGCCTGGAGTCAGGAAGACTCATCTTCTTAAATTCAAATCTGGCCTCAGACACTTACTAGCTGTGTGATGCTGAGCAAGACACTCAACCCTGATTGCCTCAGTTTCCTCATCTGTAAAATGAGCTGGAGAAGGAAATGGCAAACATCTCCGGTATCTTTGCCAAGAAAACCCCAAATGGAGTAACAAAGAGTCCGACACAGCTGAAAAACTGAACAAAGTACCTTTCCTGTATCGATTAGCTCCAATTTATCCTGTGTATGTCTTGTACGTAGTTGTTTTCATATTGTCTCTCCCATTAGACTATGAGCTCCTTAAGGACAGGGACTGGCCTTTCTCTGCATCCCCAGGGATTAGCACATTGCCTGGCATGTGGTAAATGCTTAATAAATATTTATTGGTTGGCTGACTCATTGACTTTCTAGAGAGCTCTCTGGAATTCTTCAGACCCTTGGCTTTTAGGTTGAACCCGGGAGGTCCTCAGGGGGATCCTCTCCCATCAGCATGTCCAAAGAAATTAGAATCCTTATATCCTAAATATCCCTGGGAAACAGTCCATTCTTGAATCCCCTGAGAACTCAGGTATGTCTTAAACCTAAAAATTAGGCTATTGATCGGCAGCAACCCCAAGCCTCAATCAATTTCACCATAGCTTTAAGAGCCCCCAATCCAAGAGGATCCTGAAACCAAAGCCAGATGAGGAATGACTCTCAGTCCCCAAGATACCTGCCCCCCACTCCAGACTCAGGAGTCTGGAGAAAAAACCCAATATACTCCACCCAGCCAATTAGTAAACATTATCTGCTTCTATCTGAGGAGGGGGTAGGCAGGAATAAGCATTGATGCAGGTATTTGTGGGGGGTACAAAAGCCCAGCCTGAGCATAAGCATTTCACCTCAGTGGATAGCTGGGTTTGAATTCTGAATGTGACAATGAGGCTGTTTGTCTCGGAGTAATTCCGCTGTTTGTTCAAGACTTTGTAGCGGGAGCAGAGATTTGGTGGGGGGAAGGAAAAGACCATCTGCTCCAGTATGGCCCTGCACTTACATGATCAAATTACCACTGAGTGGGATGGAGAAACTCCAGTAGAAAGTTCCTGCCTGGTGTCTCCAGCCCCAGCCTGCATCACTAGTCCATTGTATTTATTGGGTAATAAATATGCAGACACATGGTGAGATGCAGTGTTCATTCTGTGTAGACAGCTTGCCCAGAGCCCACAAAGCCAAGGAGAAAAAGGTCAGGGTAGCCTTTCCTGCCCTTTTTTTTTAATCCCTTGGTGAAGGATGAGGAGAAAGAGATTGTTATAGGAGGGTCAAGGTTTACACCCCAAATGTGAATATCTTGCAGCTCAGTAATGTGCCAGGCAGAGGCTGGAAACTGCCTCAGATTTCATAGATTGGATCAATCACCTTATTTTAGAGATGGGGTAACAAATGAGCCCAGAAGACAGACAGTGAAACTTGCTACCCACTTCCTGACCAAGAAGTGATGGACTTGAGGTGCAGAATGGGACATACATTTTTGCACGTGGACAATGTGGAAGTTTGTTTTGCTTGAATGTGCATATTTGTTATTATGAGTTTTTTTCCTTCCTCCCCCTCCCCCACCAATGGATGGAGGGATGAAAGGAAGAGAAAATAGATTTTTGTTAATTGAAAAAAAATGGATTAAATTTTTAAAAAGGAAATATCTAAGCAATAAGACACAACCAGTGTGAGAGTTTGTTTTGCTTGAATGTGCATATTTGTTATGATGAGAGTTTTGATTTTCTTCTCTCCCCCCATGGATGGAGGGATGGAAGGGGGAGAAAATAAATTTGTGTTAATTTAAAAAAATTAGATTAAATTTTTAAAAAAGCAACATCTAAGCAGTGAGACTTTTTTTAAAGTATCAAAATAAGAATAGTGACTAGGACTGGGGAGTGCTTTGGAATATCCATCTCAGGCCTTAATAAAAACAAATGTGCTCTTGTATTCTTTAGCACCAATTGAAAAGTCAAATTGCCTTTTCTTAACTTGTATAAATTTATGATTTCACAGAGTACTTTTCTGAGAGCACTCAGTTTCTAAAACCTGTTTTCCTTTCCTGGGGGGAAGAAAAAAAGTCTCCGGTTTGTTGTTGTTTCTTTAAGCATCTGCCTGGATTTGTAAAACATTCGGCGAGTGTTGTTTCATGCCCTAAATGTGAAGTTTGTTTTTTTTTTTTTCCTTCTCCTTTTTCCCTTCCCACTATTAGGCTTTCATGCAGCCTCACTTGCTGGGAAATGAGTTCACACATTTGGAGTTTCCAAGGAGAGTACAGAGAAAAGAACTTGGAAAGAAGATGCTCTACAGGGACTTCAATATGACAGGCTGGTAAGAACACATCCCCTCCTTGGTAGGAGTAAAGGAGGCATCCTCAAAAAAAAAAATCCATTTATGCATCTGGTTGGATGAGGAAGAAGAGGCAGGCGTCTGCAGATGTCTTTGTGGTAATGGAAAAGGGGCTACACCAGGGATGGGGAGCCTGCGGTCTCAATGCCACATTGCTACAGTTGAGGACCTAGAGGGCCACCGGTGGCCTCGAGGCCACAGGTTCACCAACCCTGGACACCGTTTTCTGCCGTGTCTTAAGTGCCAGGATTGAACCACTCCAGGTGCGTTGGTCTCCGCCGCCCCCTTTTCGGGGTTTGAGGCCTGCTTCTCCAGCCTCTCAAGTAGAAGGCATGTTGGATGGAAAGCATCTTAGGACCATGTTTGTTGGGTTTTGTACTTGTTTTGTAGCGCCCCCTATGAGTAGTACTTCTTCCAGTTTGCACTTACTCATGGAAATTGTTTATGTCCCCAGAGGTGGGTAGCTGCACCCACCCTTGTGCATGGATGCTTCTTAAAAAAAAAAAAACAAAAACAAAAACCCAAGTGCTCAAAAATCTCTGATGCTGTGTTTTTCATTAGCAGTCAGCCTTTAGACACAATTAGCTCAAAGCAAAAGCATTTGATAAGATAATAATAACTGACATTTATATAGTCCTTAGTATGTGCTAGGCACCGTGCTAAAGGCTTTACAATTATTATTTCATTTGAACTTCACAACAGTCCGGGAGGGTAGGGTGCTATTATTATCATTCCCATTTTACAGATGAGAAAACTAAGGCAAACAGAAGGGAAGTGACTTGCTCAGGGTCCCACAGCTAGTAAATATCTTAGGCCAGATTTGAACTCAAGTCTTCTTGACTCCAGACCTGGTGCTTTTGTCTGCTGTACCGCCAAGCTGGCATAGAAGTAGCCATAAAATATTCCCTGTTAGAAACCTGGGGTATACTCTCCCACAAGTACATAGAGCATTCATGGGGAGAGTGGGTAGTCTAGACATAGAGTATAGTGGTACTGAGACATATCTGTGTAGAGGATGACTGTAGTCAAGGTTACGCGCTCCCTAGACCCGAGACCTTGCTTCTCCTTTGCATCCCATCTGACCTGTCAGATGTTCACTGAGGCCTGGACCTCCAGAATCTATGTCCATGTCTCTGAGAGAGTTAATCCATTCATCTTTGGAAGTCCTGCCTTAAGGTCTATTGTCAGTAAGCCATCTTTCAGTCATGTCCAACTCTTCATGATGGTGTTTGGGGTTTTCCTGGCAAAGATACCATACTGGTTTGCCATTTCTTTCTCCAGCTCATTTTATAGATGAGGAAACTGAGGCAGACAAGTTTAAATAACTTGCCTAAGGTCACACAGCTAATAAGTGTCTGAGGCTGGATTTGAACTCCTGAAGATAAGTCTCCTTGACTTCAGGTCCAGCACTCTATCCACTGCACCACCTAGCTGCCTTCCTTAGGCATAATCATTAGTGACCAAGTAAATGCAAACTAGCCCAGTGTATCTACAGTCAGTGCTTATATCTACTGTCTGCGCGTAGACACTAGACCTTCTTGCTTCACCAGCAGAATGCCTAGACCATCTTGCCATCTGCCTACTAGTACATCACATCTTTTCTTCTTTAGACCTCATTCAGTCCTGGGTGGACAGATGTGGTTATGTTCCTTGTCTTGTACTCTTTAGCTCTTTACGCCCCCTACCCTGGCGCCCCAAGAAAGATTACTTTAGTTTAGGTTTTGGCTTACATCTAGATCTACCCCAAAGCAGGGAGTAGAAAGCTACATAAGATATACTCTAGATCAGATATGGAGATAGCTATTTCTTCCCCATAAAAGAATTACCAAACCTAAAAGGCTCTCACAAGTCCACATTGACAGAGACTTAAAAGAGGATACATAATTTATAACTACTATTATAATTAATAATTAGTAGTATGGTACTATAACTATAATAACTTATAGCTATTATTTTATTCTCCCAGGAGGTTAAGACTTAAACTGAGGCAGTTTGCAGGATTATTGAATGGGCATTGTTGTATTTCACCTCTGCTAAGCTGGACCAAGGCTTGGGCTCATTCTCTTGTCCTTGGTCATCCTTTCCAAGAAGTGTTGTATTGACTGTGGAGAAGGCACCTCTCACACTGTGTAAGGACTCAAGATCTCCGGACCTCTCAAACTCAAAAGTCAGTGCCCACACTCAACTTCCCAATATCATTGCTTAGTCATCTAAGTTCAGAACCCCCCAAAAACATGCAATAAAACAATCAGTTAGGAGCCCAAGGTCCAGTCAAGGTCAGACTTGACACAGTGCCATTTGAGCTCCATATGGGTAGGGATGGGCAGCGGCAAAGTTCCATCCCTCACCCCTCCAGGGAGAGGCTTGAATAGTCATGATGTGATGCAGATGGAAAGAAGAGAAACTAAAGGTGGATCCTTCCTTTTTAAAGATCTGCTGAGTCAATGATTCTTCTTGCTCAATAAGGATTCTCTCTCAATAAAGAATTTTTTTTTTTTCAGAATTTATGCCAGGAAATGAGTAGGAAATATAAAGGTATGGATAGGACCTTGAAGATCAAACAGAGAAGTTTGTGGGCAGTAAGAAAGCCGTGGAGATTTATTGAGCAGAAAGAAGGGTTTAACCTGGGCTAGTCTTCTAGCAGTTTGTGAGAGGGGCTAGGAATGAGAAAGACAAAAGTCAGGACATCTGCTATGTAAATAGGGGGTGATGAAGACCTAAACTTAAGGGGATGGCAAAAGAAATTGAAAAAGGACAGGATGGAAACAAGAACAACCAGTTTGAGGACTGATTATTTCTAGGAAGTAAAGGAGAGAGATGAGTCAGAGATGCTTCCAGGATGACCTATTGATAAAGGCTGGGAAGGTGAGAGGCGATGACCACTTGGGGGTGGGGAGGTACAAGTGATGAGGTCCCTATGTTCTTTTTTTCTTCCTTAACTTGACCTTCACATACCTTATTATTTGTTTTGAAGGGACCAAAGATGGTGTTCAAACATCCCACGCCTGTACACACGGTCTTCTCAGCATGCCTCTAGATGATGGCAGTGTTGGTCAAGTGGATTTGGGTAATGGTAGACATTGAAATTCTAGGTCCTCAAGCAAAATTGGGCTGACCAGCCTTCTTCTACACCCCAGCCCCCAGGATACAGGGTCTCCACACACCAGTAAGGAGGCAGAGAAAAGACAGAGAGATGATATTTACCAGAAAGAATTTTCAGTAGTAATTTTCCTAACCCCTCAACCCTCAGATGGGTTTCAAAAGTATCAACTCTAAATATACCTAGAAAAATGTAGTGCTTCTAATTGGACACACAGTATTAGGTCGGCTTTCTCTTGTATGTGGCACTGGAAATGGAGAGCGTGGGAGAGAATTCGGGTCCTTAGAAGCCTTGCCACACAACTAACTATGATTATGTGCCTTTCAAGAGGGATGGTGGGGCAGGGATCCTTTCTCTTGCCCAGCTTGTATGGATTACAAAAGGTCATTGTCTACAGGACCCACAGAATGGAATTGGTCTCTTCCCTGACTTCCTTCCCTCTCCTTCCCCTCCCCCCACTTCAAATAAAATTTCCACTGTGGTTTTTAACCTCAAAAGCCTACACTGGCAGCATCTGGGCCAAGGACCCACCCACTCACCGCTCTTCCTTGTCGCATTAGGACAACTGCTGTGACCCAGCTTTACTAGTCCAAGTTTGGCCTATAATTACTTTGAGATTCCCCCCCTCCTTTCTGTACTCTCCCCACGGATCCAGCACCCACTCTTCTCTACCTGATGTCATCCTTGCTAGTGCCAGAAACCTAGCCACTGCGCCAAACCCAACCTACTTCCCTCCTTCCCCCATGTGGGCAGAGCCGCCATTACAGCTTCCATGCACGCCGTAGCTGGCATTGTGTTTGTAGAAACTTTGTCTCCCACAGCACAAGCCCCAGAACTGTCTCAGGCTGCAGTTGGCTAGCAAGAGGCTGGGTTGCTGGTTTTGAAAGAGCAGTTTCCCACAGCTGGCTCCGTGGCACAAGGTCCTGAAGCCTGTGGCTGCTGGTGGGTGGCTCATCTTTCCCATGGAAGGAGTATGTTCTTGCTCTAGCCACATGCTGCTTTCTGAGCCAAGCCAGGAGGGGCTGAAAAGGGCATCTGTGCCAGGAGGGAAGCAGCTGTTCCAGGGCTGAGGGGGCCGGACGGGTAGAAGCCACACAGAGGGAAGGAAATGCTAATCATACAAATGATGCCATCGAGAATCTAGGTAGTTTTGTTTGTAAAATGGTGTGGTATGGGACTCCTTCAAACTAGCCTCTCCCTGCCATTTGGGTGTATTATTTTAAGAGAGCTATGCCACAGGGCACTAAAAAGCAGCATGTTAATGGAAAGAGGTCCTGTCCAGTTCTAAATCTCGGAAAGAATAGGTACCCTCGGCTGGAAGTCGATACTTCCCTACAATTGAGTTTTAGGGAGATTGTGCCTTAGAGAGGAAGGAGGCCTGGTATCTGAATCCAGCTCTCCCAATAGCAAGTTGCTTCCTCTGTCTGGGTGGACTTGATCTCTGAAGCTCATTCCTCCTCTGAATCCATCTTCCTGTGTTTCCACAGCTGCTGCTGGCTTAGCTCTATGGCAGAGGGTAAATCACTTCACTTATTTGGTTCTCAAGTTTTTTGTTTTTTCATCCGTAAAATGTGGCAGCTAGTATCTCTTGGGATCGAATCAAGAGCACGCTTTCTGTTCTCTAGGTCCCATCTTTTCTCTCCTCTCCTCTCTTTTCTCCTTTCTTCTCTTTCTCTCTTCTGCATATACCTGGGCTATGGAATCTAAGGAATTTTTGCCAGGAAACTCAATGACATCATTTCTCATGTCACCATTCTCTGGGACCAGTAATGTAAAATAACCCCTTCCCATCCTTCTAGATAATAAAATGGGAAGGGAGAGTGGGAAAAGAAAAAGTTTGCAATGCTGGGAGCTACTTAGAAACTAAATATACCCAGCAGCA